CAAATCAGACAACTAACCCACGAAAAATAATACAAATAAAACAACCAAAAATCTAAATACATGAAGAAATAAATTAAGTAAATAATAATCAAATTAACAAACTACGAATAAACACAAGTAAATGTAATAATAATCAATAACAAAAAATAAGGATTCAATAATAAATAATGAGTAAAAAGTTAACAAGCAACACTGTAAAATAGCTACAAGTTACTTCATTCGGATCCACAATTATTCCTACTCAATAGTCTCTAGGAAAATTTGGAATGTATCCGTTACCAACTACTCAATAACCGCAAGGATAATTCAACTGATATTGCTATACATAAACACAACACACATGGCCCGATGATTGCATTCACGCATAAAACAGTCGGCTCTCGGTATTGATCTCAAAGTCCACTTACACTTACACACACACACACACACACACATATATATACCCGTCTATTAAGGCGGTTAACCAATGCCTATTGCAGATGCTCGCTCAGGCACATTTGTGTTTGTTCAACATCCACAACGCCAACGTGTGGCTTATACTGCAATTATGCTGTGCAGACATTAGTTACAGTTTCTGAGAGAGAGCGTGTTATCTAGCGTGATCAACAATCTGAACAAGGCCAGCACACAAACCTTCGATCATGATGACTTGTGACTTCGTGCTAGCACAGCTATTGACGGTTCCCAAGGGCCCGTCTACCCAATTTCACTCACAAGACTTGAGTTTTCCAAAGGTTCCGCATGCTGGGATCGCCCCCTTTAGTCTACTTCCTGACAAATCAACCATGGTGAGATTCGAACCCTGGTCTCATGGTCAGAAAGCGAACGTTCTAACCACTCGGTCATATACATATATATGCGTGCGTATTTGTGTGCGTGTGTGTGTGTGTGTGTGTGTGCGCTAGGGGGTTCTGAAAATTTGTCGATGTTTTCCCACTTATCCCAATGAGGATTTAATTGATCCGGGCCGAGAACTTTTCAGCAAATATATATATATATATATATATATATATATATATATAATTATTATGCATATATTATTTACGAGTATCTTCCTTGTCTTGTATTATACGTCCATGAAACAGTTCGTCAACGATTAAGACGACGCTCGGGAGATTTTATTTCAGTAATCGAGAATATAAACTTTGTTCCGTAAGCTGTTTACTTGAGTCTATCTGGCTGAATTATTAATTGAAACAGACTACAAATGATACGACACTTGGCAAGAACGGCCGTTATATTGAATCTCGACTCACGCAGCCTGGACACACTTCCTATTTCTCCCTCGTACATTGACCCAAAACCTCTACTCAAGCAAGCACGAGTCTGTACAAGGAACACACACACTGTGATACAGACACAATAAACATACAAAACACAGTAATCATGCACGCCACACAAAAACACATTACAATAGCAAACACAAGAAACATACTTACACGCAAAAGTACGTACAAAAAGCACACATACACATACACACATATGCAAGAAAAGCGCACACATATACAGGGATATGCAAGAAATACAACACGCACACATACAAGAAAAACTCACATACATCAAAGATGTACACACGAACGCACAAGGATATGCATGCGACACATAATAAAAAGATACGTTCAACACATACACGTACACATACAAACTAGAAACACGCAAAACATGCATAAAGATAATGTAAGAAACATGCACAAAAACATATTTACACACTCACAAAAATATGCACGAAAATCACACATATATATGCACACACAATAGAAACGCACGTACAGAATAAAGATGTACAAAGTCTCTCCCTGACAGAAATTATAGGCTGCAAAATTACATACATGTTAGTTTGGGGCTTACTAAATCAGAGATGTCCAAGTCATTAATATGACAGCTGAAACCATATGAAACCTAAAGACACTTGAAAATGTCGTTTCTAAAAACTAAATCGGTGTACAGTGTTCAAATTGCGACCGGGAACTTGTGGAATTTTTCAATGGAAGACAAGAAACTCCTCTTCTCTTGACTCGGTCATATACGAAAAGTCAAGTCCCAGAGATAAGGGGTATCTCCTCTGGTAGTACTTTTACTTGGCGCGGGTGGGCTAGGGTTAATCTCCGAGGCGCATCTAAAAAGGAGGAAATAATAAAAGGGCTGAACTATTTTAACTTCTGGTTACATGTTCGCGCGGGCACCCCACTTTAAATTCGGTGGGTGTTCTAATAAATCCCCATATCCTGGCTATTTTCGACGTTACATTCTCACTGGTATACCACGATTAAATTTCAAAAATATTGATTTGAGAAAACGTAGACAATTAACTTTTCTTTTTAGTACTTATCTGAACAATATCAATATACAGTTACTATATCATTTATTATTTATGACTTAATCAAAGTCATTGCAAGGTAAAAAGCATATATACTCTTCCTGTTTTACTGAAACTAAGCATAGCTATGACGACTTATAAGGGTTCAAGCAATTACAAAATAAAATCTGATTACAGAGATGGAGAAATTGAATGTAAATGCAGATTATAACACACATATATCAATCAGTTAAGTGCAACACGTGATACACGCTTGGGCAATCATGTATCAAAAGATACATGACTGACGAGGTAGAAAAATTTTTCCCGCAGTAGGTTGCCATTTCTTTCTGTGGTAGACCATTATCATCTTTTCGACAGTATTATTTTCAGCAAAACTAATCAACTTATAAAGTCAAAATAGCATATGACATTTAAGAATGCATTGTTATCTGTGTTACAGTTTAAGGGCCTTGATCACATGTGAAGTAATTTACGAAGTAATTGCTCTATAACGATGTTTACTTTTTTGATCTGTAAGATTTTTCTTTTTTAACTACTGTTCATTTAATACAAGGCCTAAGTGCCACTCTAGGTAGAACGTTAATAAATGGGGATTTTGTAAGGGCGTATAGGGAGGTAGAAAGAGTTGTACCTTATGAGGATATGTAAGAAAGATAACGGTTGACACTCAACTTAAAGCGGTTAGGATTGGAGCGACCAGGTTAAGCGCCCTTTGAGGAGTTTGTTCAGTATTGCAACAGTTATTATGAAGAAGCTGTGTGATTAGAATATGAAAGGAATGAGGAAGAATCATTGTATGTGGCCTGGTGGGTCCTAGCTGTGTATAGACTGTTGGAACCAAGGAATGTTGTTTCCATGGAAATAGCGATAGATTAGCGAAGTGAGTAAAGTCTTGTCTGTAGGAAAGGGCAGGAAAAAAAGTTCCTCACACCAAGGTCGTGCAAACGCTTTTGAACTCGGTAGAGGCTGGAAGGTTGGTATTGGGCAGCTCGAGCCCAGATGTGGCTTTCAATAATTCATTTTTGGTCTGATGTCTGGATTCGAGAAATATGCAGATATTCTGAGTAGTATCAAGACATTGCGGGGAGATTTAGCTTCTGTCCTTATAACTTAGATAGCATGGACATAGCCGGCAATTTGCACACGATCCTTCATTTCTATGTGACATTATAATTGGTACTATAATGGATGTGATGTGAGTTATAAAAACGGTAGATAACACCCTCTTGGCCGAAATGGAATTAACGAATACATAAATAAAAGCTTCTGGGGTCAAGTATCAACAAAACCGGACATTGAGAATTTCCGACCACATGGCGATATTAACATCCCCAGTCCAGTTGGGATTGAAGTAGTCAGTTCTGGTCAGCTTTTGGAAGGGGAAATACTGTCCTGCTGGTAGTTCTGATGCCGCCCAACTACACATCATAACGTTGAGATAGACAGAGCGTTTGTTGGAGGAATAGTCGAAGAGAAAAGAGGATCTGTTAACATAACATAGCAGAAGTTGTCCAAAATGTCACTTAGCTACCCACTCAAATCGAGTAAGGGAAACCTTGAATAACCACCTATATTGAAAACACGATTCGAGTCATATTTTCTCTCTGTGGGGTTTGTTTTCATCTTGTTTGTGAGCTTGCAACGGACATTGCCCGGTTTTGGTGCAGGCCAACACTAACAAGAATGGAAACGCAACGTCAGTCATTAGCCCTTTTTGTATATTTGCAAACAAATCTACATGAACATTACTCTTATTTAATGCGCCATCAAAACAATTGTCAAATTATTACACAGATGAAGTTACCCCTTTCCAGAGAGCATTAGTGCAAATTGCGAATTCAAGCTGACCCAGTCGGAGTTTGAACTCGAATCGCCAATTTGGCGCCTCGTATCGTTATCTGTATCACCACCTGCTCTTACTGTGAATGATACTGCTTATTTACTGAACTTATTTTACCGAGAAACTTTGAATAGCAGATGTAAATTTCTAAGTACGCAAGCGGACTTAAGCTAAGAGACATTTTATGAATATATTTATAAGGTATTAACAGAGACAGTATTTAGGTGGGCAAACATAAGAATTTCTGCTGTGAATTAGTAAGCTGTGACTAATCAGGGACTTATTGTTTACAGACGATACTAGGTATGCAGTATTTAACTTTATTGATGTGATAACTTTTTTTTAATAATAAGGTTCACTCAATACAAGACTCAAGAGCCACTCGTGGTAGAGAGTTACCGACCATTAAGGGAAGAATGGGGTTATTCTCTTGGCATTCTTTCTTCATTATGGTAATTTTCTAAGCGTAGCTTAGATGTGGCACAAGGCCGAAAGTACGGAGCACCCAGTGAAGATCGAAGTTACTACTTAGCCGTAATTGTTTTAGCGAGATAAGTTTGCTAAGCATTACGCCACATCATGGTGCCTTAAATGATTTTCTAAGCGTAGCTTAGATGTGACACAAGGCCGAATTTGTGGAACACCCAGTGAGGACTAAACTCACTACTCACTCGTAATTGTTCTAGCGAGACAAGCTTGCTAAGCATTACACCACGCCGATATACCCCACTGCTTCTTCGTTACGATTCCCAGAGATTTCAGCCGTCGCTTTCTAATTGTAAAGTTTCTTTGTTAGTTCTATTTTCCTTAAATCTTCCTCATAGTTCACATATTCTGTGCATGATATTTTCAGCATTCAAAAGTACAACCTCTTCCTTTCTTGTCCAGCATTCAGCGCCATATCTAGGATGTTCTGTATCTGCTATCAACAGTGTTATCTCAGTCAGTTATGTGCCATGCGTGATACACGCTTAGGCGATCATGTATCTTTCAATACATGACTGACGAGGCAGATTTTTTCCCGCAGTAGGTTGCCATTTCTTTCTGCGGTAGACAAGTTGCCATCCAAGGCTATAGAACCCGATCTGTTCTGCTATTTACCCATAGCTGAAGGGGAGAAGAAGAGGATTCATACCTTTCCCAAGGGTATTAGCACGTGAGTGAATGTAATGGATTCGACTGGAATTCGAACTCTGCTCTCCGATTCCTCAATTCACCATGCCTCCTAACTACAATGCCGGGAATTGAAACTCGTATATATGTAGACGATGGTTCCGGACAGAAGTCGTAAATAAAAATTAACCATACATCGATTTATAATTCTTATCATCGAGACAAAACTTCCTTCCATTTATATTCTTAAAAAATGAAATGAACATTAAAGTCGAACTCATTTTCAATAAGTTAAGAGTTCTTCACACTTTGCGTTGCACTAATAAAAATAATATTAATAATAATAATAATGATACATACAGATAGAACAATCAAAGCTAATCGCCCAGACATTGATATTAGAGACTGCAAACAAAAAAGTGCCTCCTTATTGATATGGCAGTCCCTGCAGACTGCAATGTATCTTTGAAGATCTTCAAAAAGCTATCAAAATACAAGAACCTTGAAATCGAAACCTCAAAAATGTGGCATATGGGAACATCAACAATCCCTGTTGTAGCTGGAGCCCTCGGATTGGTTTGAAAAGATTCCAATAGACTCAATAAAGGGATTTCTGGAAGTCCATGCCTTAAAGAAATACAAAAAACTGTTCTCACGTGTACATCCCACACCTTACAAAGGGCTTTATCCATGTAAATGTGTTTTTTTTAATTGGTCAGTGGAAAATGTCATGATGCCATCTCTAACCTTAGGTCTCTGGGCTGGACCCGGGAAGAAATGTGTACGCACCAGAAATCAAAGAAAATAAAATAATAATAATAAATAAAAAGAAAATGATAATAAAATAGCCACAAACAATTGACCATCTTGTATCAGGTTGCATGATACTGTAACACCCACTGAATATAAAATCCGGCATGACAGGTTAGGCAATATCTGCATTGGGAAATATGCAACTTTTACGCAAAGGAAACTACAAGAAATTGGTATGAACACCACCCAGACCCAGTTACAGAGAGAGAGAGGACCTGTAACAATTTTACGGGACTTTAAAATACACAGACAGAACAATCAAAGCTAAACGCCAGAACATTGTGTTCAGAGACCGCCTTCCTTTTGACATGACAGTCTCTGTAGAACATTGTGTTCAGAGACCGCCTTCCTTTTGACATGACAGTCTCTGTAGACTGTAATATATCTTTTAAGATATTTAAAAAAAAATAATCAAAATGCAAGGATCTTGAAACAGAAATCTCAGAAATGTGGCACATGAGTACATCAACAATTCCAGTTGTAGTTAGAGCACTCGGATTGATTGGAAAAGGTTCTGATCGACTCATTGAAGGGATTCCTGGTAAGCCAAACTTTAAAGAAATACAAAAAATTGTGCTCACAAGTACAACCTTCACCTTACGAAGGGCTTTATTTACGTAAAATGTGTGTGATATTGATTTTTTCCTCAAAAAATCCGTAGTGGAAAATGTCATGATGTCATTTTTGACCTTAGATCTCTGGTTGTGACCTGGAAAGAAATAAGTATACACTAGAAAACAAAGGAAATAATAATAATAATAATAATAATAATAATAATAATAATAATAATAATAATACGTTTAGAGTTCTACAAACTTTCCGTTTCCCTCATAATAATAATAGTAATAATGGGTTTAAAGTAATTGTCCAAATACAAGGACCTGGAGATCAAGATTTACAGGATGTGGGGAATGAAGACTGAGACTATACTAATAGTAATCAGAGCTCTGGGTATCGTGAGAAAAGGAATGGACAACTTTATTAACAGTCTCCCAGGTAACATCAACATACAAATTGCTCAGAAGATCGCCCTACTAGGAACATCCCAAGAAAAATGCTATCAATTAAATGACAATTCTCCGATATACCATAGTTTGGACCCGGCTATAAAGCAGGAAACATAAGATACAAAAATAATAATAATAAAAAAAATTGTTTTCATGAGTACAGACCACACCTTAGGAAGGGCTTTATGTAAAATATGTTTTGTTTTTGTTTTTTTGTTTTTTGTTTTTAATTGCTCAGTGGAAAATGTCATGATGCTATTTCTGACCTTAGGTCTCTGGTTGGGACTCGGAAAGAAATGAAATCAAAGGAAATAATAATAATAATAATAATAATAATAATAATAATAATAATAATAATTTACACTACCTGCTCGGAATCGTCTCGCAGACTTGGTAGGTAGTGTGACTATAGCAGAAACCGAAATATAATAAAAATAATAATGATAATAATAGGTTTAGAGTTCTACACACTTTCCGTTGCCATAATAATGATAATAATAATAATAGTAATAATAACGAGAGGTTTATAGTTCCATACACTTTCGATGCCCTAATAATAATTATGATGATAATAATATCAATAGGTTTAGAGTACTGCACGCTTTCGGTTGTTCTAATAATAACAATAATAATAATAATAATAATAGGTTTAGAATTTTGCACATTTTCTGTTGTCCTAATAAACCGTGGTTTTAATAAAAATAAAAATAATAATAATATTAACAATAGGTTTAGAGTTCTACACACTTTCCGTTGCCCTAATAATAACAATGATAATAATGATAATAATTAGGCTTAGAGTTCTGTACACTTTCCGTTGTCCTAATAATAATAATAATAATAATAATAATAAAAACAAGTTATTTATTTGAAATATTAAAGAATTTAAATCTATTTTTTTCAGTTGAGAAATGAATTTCAGTATTTACTTGGCTTGTTAATTATTTACAGAAGGTAGCTATTTTTCTCGATTGCAATAATAAAGTTTTTTTTTCTCATTCCCAGCGGAACGTCGCGTAAAAAAAATGGTATCTTTGATGCTTTATCGTATCCAATCTACCAATACTGCAACATTTATTTGGAAAAGTTCGGATATTTATTGTCAGGAAATATTAACAACAAAATATTTCCCTTATATCAAGTATTCTTTACTTCTGTAAACATGAGGACATGGCGCAATCATAACAACGAGAGAGCAATCTATCAGAGGTTCTACACACGTCCCCAACCTACGGTATCCATGTCCTTGAAAAATAAGTACCAGAAAATATCTTTGCATTTGTTTTGAAGAATAAAATTTGTTTAATATGATCTTTTTCTTTCTTTCTATAATATTCATTATATATATTCTGTGTGTGTATCTGTGTAGTGTGTAATATATTGCGTGTAGAATATATGTATGTGTGTGTGTGTGTGTGTGTGTGTGTGTGTCTGTGAATGAAAACAAAAGGAAAACTTTTCTTTACCAACGTTTTTCGTTCTCTGATGGATATTATCAAGGTAAATCTAAGGATTTTATTTTGCAATATCTATTTGTAAATAGAAAGAAGATTATTGATAAATTTTCAATTTTTTTTAATTTAAGAACGCTCAAAGATATTTTTCAGGCTAACCGTGAACGTCAAGGTAAACTATGGTGGACGCTAAGTGATTTAATTTAATACCTAATAAGCGAAAATAAATAAATGTTGCTATTGTTGTTGATGAATTTTTTATTATTTGTTTAATATATATTCATCTAATTATTTTTATATTAATGTAATTATTATTTATTATTTTATGTTAATTTGATAAATTATTTATTTATTTAAGATAATAGAAGGTTTTGATTTAGCCGTTTTTTTTTATTTTTAAAAGTTTTTATGGTCATGTATGTTGGCTTCTACGTAAGAGTTAGTGCGCTTGTTTCGCTAAATTACATAAGAACGTGTAATGAGTTCGAACATCACTGGGTTCTCCATATATTTGATGCGCGTTGTGGTGTAATAAATCGGCTCGGAATTCCAGTTGAATTCGTTAGATTCACTTACGCACAAATACCCTTGGGAAAGGTATGAATCCATCTCTTCTCCTCCCAGCTATGGGTTTAATAGCGGGGCAGACTGGGTTCTTTAGCCTTGGTTGGCAACCAGTCTACCGCAGAAAGAAATGGTAACATACTGCAGGGAAAAAATCTGCCTCGTCAGTCATATATCGAAAGATACATGATCACTCGGGCGTGTATCACGTATAGCACTTAACTAACTGAAGTTGGCTTGGGAAAGAAGCATTTCTCTTGGAAAGGAGGTTTTTGAAAAAAAATCTGCGCAGGTTAATATTTGGGCAAGACCTGATAGCGTCGTTTTCAAAAACTTTTTGTGTAAGATTTCTGTTTTAATAAGTATAGCATTCTTTAGATCGAAGTTGTAATTGGACTTATTTGGGTGTCTGACAAATGCTTTTGAGAAATTTTTATGTATAAAATTATTTTTGTGTTTAGAGATACGTTTATTTATTTTTTATTAATCTTTTAAAGTCCACCAGAGGACAAAACGCGTTGGTAAAGAATTGTTTTCCTTTTGTCTTTATTCATATTGTTTTTCACGGATATATTTTATTTACATCTTAATTTTGAGACATAGCTATAGTGACTGCATATAGTGACTGTCTACTCGGTTACGAGAATAACCATCTTTGTACAATAACAACGCATCTGGTGAGCTATGTGCAGTTACCATTTTGTAGTACACTAACATTTTACACCGGAATGGCAGCGCACACAGTGCATGAAAGGAAAAATGGTTGTTCCCCTCCATGTCAACACAAGATCTTGTAGACCAATAATAACATAGTAAAATACATTATGGAACCGGGTTAGTCTGTCGAAATCCATCCGCTATATTCACTTACATCAATTAATACCTTTTATCGATAGTTGCAAAACACTTCGGCAAAAAAAAAAAAAATGTTCACATCAAAACCTGGGGAATTTTATCCAAAATGCATCAAAGAGTTGCCTGATAAATGACAACAAGTCATTGTAGATAATGGTAAATATATAAACAAATAAAATATGATTGTACTTTATTTTTGTTTTTTGGAATAAAGTAAAATAATTTATGTTTCAAACTAATATTTATTTATATTTCTTTTATTTTTTTTGTATTTGTATATATATTTGAATGTAGTTTAGTGGGTAATGCCGTCAGGATTAATGTGCAGCAGTCCTTACAAAGGTCTTTATACGACAACGGTAACTGTGATATCCTCTGTCATATTAGTAAATCCTTTTTATCTCATTTTTTATCTCTAGTTTTCTTCTCATATTATTATTATTCATTAAACGCTATTCAAGCAACCTTTTGCTTCATCCATTATTGTTTCTTTTTGTTTTCAATCTTGTCAACTTTCATTTTATCACTTAATCATTTCTATGCTATCACTTAACTTGGTCTGTTCTTGAAATCGTGTTGATTACATTGTATTTCTTGGAATTTTTCCTAACATTACCTTTTCCATTAATCTTTGCTTCTGAGAGTGCTTTCAACTGATTTTGTTAGCCACCATGTTTAGCACTTATACGTCAAGGTTGGCATTATATATTCCCTATACATTTTGCCTTTTAAGCATAATGACAATGTGCTTTTCATTGTAGTTTTACTAAATGCTTTACAAGTAATTGTTATACAACTTTACACGCACACACACACACACACACACACACACACACACATATATATGTGTGTATATATGTAAAAAAATCGTTCAAAATGACTTTGTAGACAAACACACGCGCGTGCACGCACATACTCGTGCACACACGCACATTCACACTAAATGATGAAGCAAATTTTATTGCAACGGACATAACAATGTGAGTGCACGTTTTTAATCAGCTTAATAATAATGACAATATTATCCGTTTCCCTACAAGGAAATATTTGGCATTCATTGACCGAGCAGCCAGTACTATTATTGGTTGGAATTTCTAAAATCTTTCTCTTGAAACAATTTTTCAGAAAAATAGTTTTCTCAAATCCAGTCACTGTTATTTCTATTTCATCTATTGGCGGCGTTTCCTTCCTAACCTTTTATTTAATGCAGTGTGGAGTGTTAACATCATTATTTTCTCTTCGAGTTACGTGTACAAGGGTTGTGAGATAATGATATATATTTTTATATATCAAGAACAGTATTAGGAAAATTTTATTACAAAGTGGAAAAAATTTACTTCTGACGCGTTTCATCCTTCAGGACTTCATAGAACTAAATTTGTTGTGGGCCCAATTCCTAGTGCATTTAAGTTAAAGAGAAAGAAAAAAAATTGTGTCTATTTTGCTTTATATTCTTTCTGGAAGACAAAAATCTATGGTAGGACTACACATGCGCACGGCAGAGGGGTGCTGGGAATTTGAGAAGTTTTTTTCAATCGATTTCATTTAAAGTCTTTTTCTCTCCATCACTTTTGTAAGTAGGTATTCCACACTCGTCTCAAGTAAACTTTTTTTCACTTTGTCATAAAATTTCCCGAATGTGCAAGAGTTTCAAAAATCGATAATATTGTTATCCACTAAAAATAACCTTTGAAATATATAGTCATAATTACATGAAAACACTATGTTTTTTTTTTTCAATTAGCATCAGGTAATTCGAGCTTAGCCTGGTTATATTTAGCGAATTCTCCAAGTTCCGTCCCCATTGTTCGTGTCTTGCACCAAAAAAACAGGTTTTCTCTGCAAGCTGACAAGAAAATGAAAAACGTGGTGAAAAATTAAGAACTTATATTTAGTTGTTTATTATGTTCGGCCTAAGATAGGTTGGGTCACATTTGGGACAATTTTCCTGTCAGATCAGCTTTTCCTTCGATTCTTCCCTCCTAAACACTTTCAACATCACGACGCAAGGCTGGTAACACGAACGGGCGGTATCGGAGGCCAAGCAACCGGAAATCATCAATACTGTCGTATTTATTTATTCGTTTTTTTTCCGCTTATCACGTTGCAGAAAAAAACACGACTTCAAAAGATTATCCGCCGGTCATAATATTCGATAAGATTTCTCACCTTTTCCTTCTATGTTGTCCGAATCATAGTGTCACAGCGGCGAAAAATTTTTTTCCAAAATTCAGGCAGTTATGTGCCATGTGTGATAAATGTATCTTTTGATACATGACTGTCGAGGCACATTTTTTTCCGCAGTTTGCCATTTTTTTCTTGCCATCTATAGAACCCGGTTGTCTTTCTTTTTCCCAAGGATATTAGCACGGAAGTGAATTTAATGGATTCGACTGTTCGAACTCGGCTCTCAATCCGAGACGCTATCCATTACTTCACCCTGGCTAAAATATTCTCAGTTGTTCATTCTTGTTATTTTTTCTTTCTTAACACACACACACACACACACACACACACACACACACACACACACACACATATATATATATATATACATACACATACACATATCCGATTGATCGATTTTATTTAAAAACCAGAAAATTTTTGGATTGTAAGAATTTCTTTGCAATAGTAAGGAATTAGTGATTCATTACTAATTATCCTGTTGAGAATTCATACCTTTCCCAAGGGTATTGGCGCGTAAGTGGATATTAGAAACCCAACTGGAATTGAAACTCGTCTCTTCGATTAACAATTCTAGACCATTATTCATGACACCATCCACGCAGTTTTACAGCACCTGGTATTCACAAACGGTTATTCATCTAGATAATGACCAGATTCAAGGTTGCTCAATTTAGGTGATTGTCTGGGGTCCGGACGGACGGCTGACACACACACACACACACACACACACACGGACAAAATTCTTTCAGTATTTTATACATAGATTTTTGTCTTCCAGAAAGAATATAAAGCAAAATAGACACAATTTTTTTTCTTTCTCTTTAACTTAAATGCACTAGGAATTGGGCCCACGTGGAAATTCTGTACTTGCTTTACTGCTAAAAACTAATTATTGCTTTTCCCACAATTTTCCATTGAAACAAAAACACTTAAAAATGCACGGTGATACCAAGCCTCACCGACTTGGTACTTGAAATATTAATGTTATTTTCTTTCCTTTCAATTTTTACAATTAGTTCTCACTCCCTTTCATTCCACTTTCCCATCATTCTTTCTTTCTTTATTTCTTTCTTTCTTTCTTTCTTTCTTTTACTTTTTGTTTACCATTCCTTCATTTCTTTTTCTTATGGCGTCTTTCTTTTTGCTTTCTCAAATTCTTTTATTTCCTAGCATCATTTTCGTTTTCCTTTCTAACTTTTTTTTATTGTTCGTTCTTCCATTGTTTCTTTTTTTACGCTTCTCACATTCCCTTCCAAACGCCGCTATCGTATCTTTTTAAATTTCTCCTTTCTCTCTATTCTCTTACCTGACATTCATTCATTCCTATCTTCGTCTTTTTCCTTCCGAATTATTTCGCTTCCTTTTGCTTGTCATTGTTTTTACCTTCAATCGCTTTTTTATTTTTTCACAAACTGTACTCCTCTTCTCATCGTACTTTTTTTTCCATTTCCCCTATTTAGTATTCCTTTTCTCTCTTTCTTTTCTTTCCTACATCTTTCTTTCTTTCTTTCTTTCTTTCTTTCTTTCTTTCTTTAATTTTCGTACGCCCTTTCTTCATTCCGTATGTTTTCCTTGCATCTTCCTCCCAGCCAATCCTGTTTTTATATTCATTGTTTTCAGTTTTACTTTTTCATGAACAATCTTTTTGCAGCCTTTTCTAGCCTGTCAGACCTTCTTTCTTTCTTTTACAAAATTGCATCCAATTTCTCTTACTTTGTTAGTATTTCCTACATTCCAGCCTCTCTTTTTCATCGTCTCTGGTCTTTTTTCTTTCCTCTCCATTTCACCCTTTTCTTTCTTTCTTTCTTTCTTTCTTTCTTTCTTTCTTTCTTTCTTTCTTTCTTCTGAGTTTTTCTTCCTCACATTCCTTTCTTCCTCTTTTTTTTTTCATCCATTATTTTTCTTATACCAATCTTGTCACTTTTTCCTTCCGTCCTCTCTCCTCAAATACTTCTTCAATGAACGTTGAAAAATCTGAAGCAATCAACTACAAGCAACAAACAAAAATAAATAAAATTTGTGTGACAATAGCTGCTGTTTATTTCTGCGCTGATCATTAAGACCCTGTATCCCGTTGGCTGACACTGCTAACAAATAGATGTGTGCATTTCATCTAATTAAATTAAGCTAGATACACGCACACGACACACCCACCCCGCCCGAACGCAGATCCTCTCCTATCCACCTGATTATCAGCGAGCAGTGGGATAGCGGGGAGGGAAGAAGAGTCTTGCTCAAGGCACCATGTACAACTAATTAAGGTAAATGCATTGAACAGGTATGCACACCTGCGTTATATCCGGGGATCTCTGCTAAGTGCACACATATGCACTCCTAAAGGGTAAATTATGACCAGTAGATCTGTCGAGTTGGTGAGGTGTGTTATCGCAGGCTTCCTTGCTTTCCTATTGTACTGTAATTTGAATATCAGTAGATGCGCCATTTTTAAACATTTGTAACGGATATCGACACGGAAATTGGTAAACGTCGAACCGAGTTCAATTCCGGCACTAGTCTGTATCGTTCACTTTCGCACAAATGTCTATGTATGGGTTAAATAGGAGGGTAGACTTGACTCTCTAGTCTTGGTGGTAACTAGTATAAAAGAATGAAAACTCGAAGTTACAAAACTGTAAGTTCCAAAATTTGGAGACGGCAACCAACCTACTACCTTTCCCAAGAATAAATAACAATTAACTGAAGAAATGTTAGAGAGTCATAATCGTTTACGTCCTTAGGGGACATTGCATTTTAAGAGAAATAATGTGAGAAGATGGTCTTTCAAATTTGCGGTCTCGGAAGTTTAAAATAAATTAAAGTTTTTATTTTGGAGTTTGCTAACACGCACAAATTGACAGTTACATTGATGAGTTAGAACAGTGATTCTCTACCGCTGAGCCGCGGCACTCTGGTGTGCCTCACAATCCTCTTAAGTGTGTCGCGAAATATTGTCATATTTGACCAAACATTGAAGAAATCTCCCCCCGCAAAAAAAAAACCCCAAACGCCGGTTTCACACTAAATAAGCTGCACATATAATTGGACAGAAACATTGAAATAATGTAAGTTCATATTTGTGCGTGTATTTAAAAAAAAAATCCATACCGTTTAAAACTTTTCCTGAGTGTACCGTGATATTTCCATTTACACATAGGCGCGCTGTTGCTTAAAAAGGTTGAGAAACACTGAGTTAGAACTTCCTAAAAAGACTTTCAGGAAGAGCGATAATAATATCGATGATCCAGAAAAGACGACACCATAGGCAGAGCTTTACCCGGTTGGATAATAGGATATGCATATGTGCATATGATTACATTGTCACGACCGATTGTTCAAATCTTCTTTATATATATATATATATATATATATATATGTATGTATCCTGTTATATTTTATCGTTAAAGCCGTCTCTGTGAAAACAGAGAATGTTGTGAATCCCTGTTTTTAATAAATTCAACTTGTATAAGTTCTTTTTTTGCTAGTACTTTCATCTGTTCATACAGACACCGCCAGGCATGGAAATTGATTAAAAACAGGGATCACAACATTCATGTAGAGGTTCGTGGGTTAATGTAATTTTAATAAATTTGTTTGCGAAGATGTATTCTCGCCATTTATATCATTAACTTCACTAATCTGTTTTTTGTATGAATCATTCATGTAATGTAAATTGATCTGCACCACATATTTGATTTAAAAAGAACTGATCCGACGTGCAACTTCTGGGATAAATGCTGCGATTATTGAACAATTCAGTTCATACCACATCGACTGAAAGAACTACTACAACAAAAGCATTCTCCAATTATCATATTAGCAAAAAAACGCACTCTCTTTTAAATTTTCAAAAATTTCAACCTTAGCGTTGCGACTGCATGCTCCAGAATTTCTTACAGTTAACAATAACACATTTCTAAAAAGCATATTTCGACTCACATCTAATATTTCGTGTCCCGTTATTACCTGGATGTATTTAAAGAAACATGTCTGATGATGTCTGTATGAACAGATGGAAGTACCAGCAAAAAAAAAAAAAAAAAAAAAGACCTTATACAAGTTGAATTTATCAAAAACAGGGATCACAACATTCATCTTGAGGTTCGTGGGGTAATGTAATTTTAATAAATTTGTTTGCGAAGATGTATTCTCGCCATTTATATCATTAACTTCACTAATCTTTTTTTTGTATGAATCATTCATGTAATATAAATGAAACTGCATTACATATTGTATATATATATATATATATATATATATATATATATATATATATATATATATATATATATATATATATGCGTGTGTGTGTGTGTGTGTGTAGAAATAACAAAGATAGTGTTTAGCTGAAATAATGGCCGGCAAGTGTATTTCTGGAAGATAACGTTTTCAAGACGAGCAACGTTTGTAATTATTTTGCACAAGAGACAAAGCCTTAATAGTAATAAATCAGTGAACATTCTATCTATCTATCTATCTATCTATCTATCTATCTATCTATCTATCTATCTATCTATCTGTGTGTGTATGTATGTGTGTCTGTGTGTGTGGATAATTGCAAGTCAATGGGAAAAATTCTATGTAATGAGTTTTATCGTTCAAAAAGTGATTATTCGGGCTACAATAAATAAATTTGATAATCAAAAATATGCCACGATGCTAAATTATAAATTTTAAAATTTACCATCTCTTACACGTTTATCTCATGTATATATATATATATATATATATATATATATATATATATATATATATATATATATATGAAAGTTTCTGGAGTCACACCAAGATAAGATATTTTTTATGACAGGGATCATAATTATTTCTAAAATAAGATAGAATAGTATCACACCGAATAAAATAATAACTTAAGGTACCTTTCGACCGATTCATCTTCAGAAATTGATATCGTCGCTATAAAACTAAATTGCTGAAAAGAACATTTTTTTCAACAACCATTTTTTAAAATAGTACAAAAGTGGGGAGGGGATAGGACAAAAATGAAATATTTTCCCTTAATTTGGTCTAGAATTGGCTACGGATTCACCAAAAGTGCGAGTTTATGTTTTAATTCTCTTTGGTTACACAGAATCGGACCTTGTATATTAATAACAACTGTCTCTAAGATGTTAAGGTGGAGTCTTGTCTGTGCCCTGTGCAGAACAGAGAAGAAATCCCCAGAGTATCCAGTCCTACAAGCGACTGAATTCAATAAATGTTCGCTGATAGCGGACTCACGAGCCTGTGAGCGCCCGGATGTTGTAGGTACAAGTCTATGTATTTGTCTAGTGACATACTGGGCGATTCTAACCTCCAACCGCTGAAAAGTCTTACCAACATAGTCAGCCTCAGACTGACATTTATATTGATAAAAGACTAAACTCTGCTGTTGGGTAGGTCTGTTATCCTTACTGACAGAAGGAAAAAACCCTCTGATAGAAAAAAAATATTCAGAATTAACGCCTAACCGAATATTTTATCTGCGTTACCTGACTACTGGGACCAATCCACGTTAGTCTCATATATACAGGACACTTAGATGGCCCAAACACTTTAACGCCATTAAAATTAGCAATTTTAAGTCCAATGGCAATTGTGATCACACATTCAGGGTAATCATTCGCCAGAAACAGCTGTTTAATTTGCCCGAGTTCGGGTGAAGGTTGCACTCCGAACATATCAAATCATATTTTCTTGGTTTTGGGAGCAAAAGAATCACAACTAAGGTGGGATTCCTATAAACTCTAGTGAGAATACATGACGAAGTTCTCTCAACCAGGAAAGATAACTTATTGTTTTCTTCCACCTTCATAGTAAATTTCAAAGAAGGGTTGAGATTATTTAATATTGAACAATTTTTTCCGCTTCATTACGTGAAGAAAACGATGTAAACATATCGTCAACTTAACGCTTCAATAAGGCTTCGAGATCTTGTCAAATAATTGCCTCTCATGGAAACCGACAAGAGATGTTAGCCATAAGAGATTCCAAAGGACTGCCCATCGCAACTCCATCGATCTGTTGGTACATGCAATCGTTGAAGCTGAAGAAAACAGACTTGGTAGCCATTCCTATCAACTCAACGAAAATAACCTCAGGAAACGATGGCGGCTTTACGGGATCACGGATATTTGTAAACAAACTGGATATATCAAAAGACGCAAAATACTCAGTGTCAACAGTGGGTTGAAATTTGCGCATAAATAACGCAATTTGGAACGAGTCTGAAACAAAATACTTCGAATAGAAATCTAAAACTGGATCAAGAACCTTAATAAACCACTTAACCAATCTATGCTGAGAAGAACCCTCCATAGAGAAAATAGGCCTGAGTGGAATGTCTTCTTAGTGAATTTTTGGTAACCAATATATCTTTGGGCGTTGAGAACCAAAAGGCCGACTATTATAATACACCTCTTTGAACATGTACATTTTCTTATGATGTTCTAATAATCTCTTCTGTCGTCTAATTTCCGTCTTCAAGGTGTCGTCACAAGTAACGACACCTAGTTCCGAAATTTATTTGTGTCGTCCAAAATATACAATATTTTATTTATGCAATTTAATATGACCAAATCTGAACCTTTGTCAGGTTTGGTTATATATATATATAATTTGTAGGGCTGATGAATTGGATCGTATTTACGATTCCAGTGGAATAAATTATGACCATGGAATATTAGTGTTTAAGCCTTTTTATTATATCCTTACTCTGTCCTGGACATTGAGTTCTACCTGGATTCTATCCTCTTGGAATTATTTTTTATGCAAATATATATGTATGTGTATGTATGTATATATATTTATATATTTTAGATATATGATTGCATATGTATGTGTATATTTACCACTAATATTATCTATCTATCTATCTATATATATATATATATATATATATATGTTTTGGATCTTAATAATTTGACCGTGTGGTAATGGTGCTTCTGCTAAGAGAACCCATGAAAATCAATAGGTGAATTTACGAAATTATGAGCTAGGTCTTTTAGGCAAGCGTTAAGACGGATTTAGTCCTTATCAGAATTAGGCAAATGTTTTTCTAACTGGGAAAAGAAAATTTCAAAATCGCTAAACACTTCGATTTTCTCGATTTTCCTAGGGAGAATACAAAAATCCAAACCCCAGGACAAGACCAACTTATCAGAAACAGATAAGCAATAATTAGATAAATTAATATGCCAAATGAAACGGGTGGCGATCGGGGATCCATCTCATTAATGTGCGTTCCAGTTAATGTCTGCAGCAGGCTGGACATCTCGGGATGCAGTAGAGGAACTGCTATCAAGATGACCACCGAAGCAGCAGAATATCCCGTCAAACAGGAGAGGAGAATAATGAGTGTGATCAACCATGAGCTTAATCAACTTCCGGGGTTGCCCTACTGAGGACCTGTGATTGTTAAAAAGGATCTGAAACAATGAAATACAGATATGGCCTTCTCCTTCTATGTGCCGTGTCCCTTCAAGGGGGGGGGCGATAAAGCTCTCCACAACTTTCTATCTTTCGTAGCTTTAAGCAATGTTTGTCTATTTATTATCCCTCCCTTCCATTCCTGTTATATACCGTACCTATGAACACTGATGGGTATGCCCTAATCCTCATATATACGCTGAACACTATTGTAAGTGGGGGGAATATGCTAAGTAGCCCACTGATATCAGTGGTTTACCTACTTCACGCCGCTGGCGAGTATTGTATTTTCTTGATGTTATAATGATTACCATTTCATTCCCAACCTCCGTTTTGGTTATTTCTCATTTAGTAGCCTTTTCTAAGTTACAACAATTCCTTTACACAATCACGCTTAGTTGGTTACTCGCTTTTTATATCTGTTTCATTTGTTTTTTTTCTCAGCCGAGGCTCTATTCGTAGATAGAGCCTTGACTGAGTCGCCCTCTGCCTGAAGACAGAGGTCTTGTCAGTCGTAAGCCAGACAGCGAACTTTCTGACTAGATATAGCTACCTGATTAAGATATGTATCTATTTACTCCCATCCTCAGCTATGGATTAAAAAGAAGGGTCGATTGGACTCTTTAACCTTGATTGGTTCACTTACAATCACCCTATCGCCCTAGATCTGCAATTCATTTAAATAAACTCATCAGGTATGTTATTTGCTGATTCCATCTAGCTCTCTTGACTTCAACATGTACCATGAGTGTCAAATTTTCCAAGCTCTCTATCCGCATTATATGCCAGAAAAATATCAAATCTTTCTGATTCTAAGTAAAAGTGTCCTTTGTGTTCCCAGTTTTCTAGAAAATTCCTCGTTGCTCATATATTCCATTTGTGGTATTCTCAAAATCCTTCTATCGAACCACATCTATACGGTATGGTATACCAGGAACTGTAAGCTCGGATGTGCGGGTAGTATAATGGGTAATTTAATGTTAGATTGACAAACAATTCCTATTTGTTCTATATTTTATCATTCTGTCGGATTAGGTTCATATTTGACCCCAACACACACATAGACACACACATATATATAGATATGAAAGCAATAAACAAAAACTAAAAATTCTTGAGCTATATACATAAAACAGTTGAAACCTAACCTGAACAAAATAAACTATGAAATCTCCACAAATATCCTTAAATGTCTATAATTGATAACAGAATCCATCGGTTTATACCAACGGCTTCCCATACTTAACACTTCTTGTTTTGCCTCTCACGTAGTAATGTGCGACGTCATGAGTTGCGGTGCAATTTTCGTTTCCAGCGTCTCATATGCACAAGTTTGTCGTTGCTTGGAAATCTTCCATGTAAACAAAAACAGACTATTATCATTGTTTTGTCCGTGTATTATTTAATATATTGTAATGTAATTGTCATCTTTGATAATGGCTTATGTAAGCCGAAAGATAGGATTAAAAAATATGTATCAATATTGTGATTTTCTTTCTTCTTTTAATGATAATGCTATTCAGCTTATCAGACGATATGAAAAGAATTTAAATAAAATAGACAAAACTTCGTCTATATTATTTAATGAAACATCTATCTATCTATCTATCTATCTATCTATCTATATATATATATATATATATATGTATAACTATGAACCTAAAGAGCCAGGCAAACCTACCTGCGTTTCACCTACGCGGATCGTCAACCACCCCCGTTGTTGAGTTACTGTTTTATTTGTTGTTTTTAGTCACGTGGTCATGGTTGTTTTTATGTTGTAGGATATATATCTATATATCTTACTTATTATAAAACGCAGATTATGTGTGTGTGTCTGCAACATTTATATATTGGATCGGATTTCCTACATTTTTCAACCGATTTCAACAAAACTTCACAGGACTACATAAAATTACCTTGTGGTGGTTCTAACAGCGCCAAAAATAAGAAAAATATAGTTGTTTTTGCACAAAATCAATTTGAAAACACGATTAAGAGACATCGTGAAAATGGAAGGGGGACAAATCACATTGAGTTGTTTGTGTGTGTGGGTTCCTTTAAATATGGGAGCGGATTTCCTATATTTTTTAGCCGATAAAACAAAACTTCACTTTTTTTTTGGCAGGGAGTATTTCTTATTCTCTTGCACACTTTTTTCTTTATTTTTAACATTCAGAATGCTTTAAAAATTCCATTTACAAGACAATTATTTATAATAAAATTCTATTCAATCAGTAGACTCATAACGATTGAAAACAATGTTTTTGTTTGAGTTTGACCAATTCGTAAAAAAAAAAAAATCAAATTAAGACATGCGTGTCCGTCAACCTTAAACAATAATCTTTGTCAATTTTATTTTTCAGTCTTTATGATGGTGGATACTTGATCTATCTCTTACTGTTATAATCCCCGGGCAACGCCGGGCTCTACTGCTAGTATATATATATATATATATATATATTCTGTTCCAATTTACCTCTTTAGCCAGCGTACCCTGAAGACCCGCTGATTAGATTTGCTCTACTTAGTGTATTGAGCACTCTGCTTAGTTATTTTTGCTTTACTCGTTTTGGAGTTGTTTTTTTTTTCTTTGAACTCTGAACTTGGATTCTGAACGATTGTTTTCGCCTCAATTATATGTTCTTAGTTTTTCTTTTTGTCCCTTATTTTTCCTTGGGTATTGGTTTGTTCATTTACAAGCCAAAAACACCTATAGTTTTTCAGACGAGTATAATTACTTATATATATATATATATATATATATATATATATATATATATATATATATATTTATAAGCAATTATACTCGTATATAATAAAATATAATAAAAAGGCTTAAACACTAATATTCCATGGTCATAATTTATTCCATTGAATCGTAAATACGATCCAATTCATCAGACCTACAAATTCAAAAAAAAAAAACAGAAAAAACAACTCCGGGAATAAAAAATAAAATTTAGTGAGAGTATGTATGAGAGTGTGTGACGAATGTTAGAGTAAATGAAAGCTATAGGGAGGGGTAACAGACGAGAGAAGAACAGGAAGGTCTAAAGATGAAAGTAGGATTAAAATTTAACAGAGAGATGTTTTAAAGAGGGGGTCAAAGACGGTTTAAGTGAGAGAAATATGAATATTCTCGGATGTCTAATACATTAAGGATATACCGGAAAAGATACATTTTGTGGTGACATACACACACAATAGACGATATAATCTTAAAGATCAGAAGATGAGAGAGGGAGAGGAAAAGAAAAGAAAAAGGGTGGGGGGGAACTAAAACCGAAGGGCATTTATCAAAGGACCGCTGTGTAATCAAGAAAATTTGACAAAAGTAATATCGACTACAGGTTACAAATCAAATATAATCATATAAAAAAAACCCAAATATAACGATTATCTAATCTAGCAAGGACCTATATTTCTATGTTCAAAAACACATGCGTATACACACATACACAACAATATATTTATATTTACACGTACATACATACATACATATAGGCGTGTACACACATATACCCATACATATACCTACACACACACACACACACACACACACACAAACACATATATATATATATATACATACACACATATACATACATATACACATACATCCATACAATCCATCCTACATTTATACATTTACACACATATATACATAGGGACATACACATACGTGCACATAAACATATATACATAAAACCTTACATCTCCATACAATTACATACACCATCTAAACAAATAAACAATGTATCCCTTTATCTATCCGTTTAAATATACATACATACATACACATAGACTCATATACAGATATATATGTATACATACATACCTAAACATACGCGCGCGCACACACACACACACATAAACACATCTACATACACATCTACCTACATATACATCCATCCATATACATATATATATATACATATATATATACACACACACATACATATTCGTACATACATACACATATACACACATACACACATGTATGCACATATACATATCTATATATAAATCAAAATGGAAAATTAATAAAATTTTGTCTCAAAATCAAAAAAAAAAAAAAATTAAATACATAGTGCATCACATAAACATACACAATGATACATATAAATAATCATTACATTAAAATGTCATGCTCGATGTTATTGAACCAAGATGGAACTGACATAAGTGACAACACGTTATAAAACGGTGTTTATGTTTTGAATCGTTTCTTATGTCAACATTTAGAAAATATCTCAGTACGAAGATTTAGCAACTCATCTTGATTCTTATCTTTAATAATAAAATTTTTTTCCGCCATGCACAGATCACACTGATCGCGGAAATTATTAGAGGTTCAAGCTCTTGATAAGTATCTACATTCGAAAAGTGGGGTTAGTCCCTTATCCACCATTTCCCAGTAGTGTTTGGATAAGGAAGTTTGATTTTTGAGATCTATGTCTAAAAGAGCGTCTATGGTTGTATAGACGCTGCTTCCGGCGGATATACCTATATATCTTTTTTTCTGGTTTATATTTTCCTCGGGGAAGATTGCTGCCTCATATACTACATTTTCATACATACATTTACCCCCCGATTGGACAATGGTCTTTATTCCTTCAATTGCAGGTAGGGTTACTAGATTGAGTTTCATTACTATGGTAGTTTCTAAGTATTCTACAATTATGGGAAGATATAATTTTCTCCATATTTCTAACGCATGAGTAACTAATTTTCAGTGTCTTCCTATTGAAAATTTTATGTAGTGGATGTTTACTATGAAAGTGTTTATCAATTAATCTCAGAAAGAAATTTCCTATATCAATGTTAGAGAGCCTACAATATGGTGGGTTAAACCATATTATTAGGTTGTCCCAAAAGTTCATAAACACTTGTGAAAAATTGAATTTTTATGCAATTTTTAATTGTTTTTTTTACTTTATCGAGAATTGGCTGATGAGCTTGGAGTTGGCAAATCGACAATTCACCGACACTTGAAGCAACTTGATTTTGTTCACAAAAAGCCGCGCCAAGATCTGCACGAACTCACTGAAGCACAAGTCAACAGACGAGTTGAAATTTGCCGTCAATTGCTCAGCAATCCATTGGACGAGCGTTTTTGGAAGCGCATTGTGACATCGGACAAGAAATGGGTCTATCTGGTCCAGCACAATCGAGACAAGCGATGGGTCCAGAAAGGGCAAGAGACACCGTCGGTTCCAAAACAAGATCGATTCGGCAAAAAAGTCATGTTGTGCGTTTGATGGAACTTTGAAGGAATCTTGCATTTTGAGTTGGTTCCGAAGGGTCGTGCCATTAGTGCCGAACTTTACTGTCAGCAACTGGAGCGGGTCTACAAAAGATTGAAGCAAAAGTACCCGGCTCTGATCAACCGAAAGCGCGCTTTGATGCAGCAGGACAATGCCAAGCCACACACCGCCAGGAAGACCAAAGACAAGTTTGAAGAGCTGGACGGCGTTGAAGTTCTGCCACATCCAGCCTACAGTCCTGACTGTGCTACATCAGATTACGGCCTTTTCCGCTCGATGCAACACTTTCTGAAGTGCCGCCGATTCGACTCGTTTGATGAAGTCAAGGAAGCGTGTCAAGAATTCTTTGATTCGAAGCCGGCTGAATGGTACTTTCACCAGATCCGAAAGCATGCAGATCGATGGCAGAAAGTCTTGGAAAATGATGGTCTTTATTTTGAGGAATAATGTTTGTTGTTTTTGTTATTACTTGGCGAGTAAAATTTCAATTTTTTGCAATTGTTTACGAACTTTTGGGACAAACTAATACCTTCCTCTTTCTGTTTTTAGTTCTATTATTATTCTGATTTGCAAGTTCTCCGTTAAAGTTTAATTCTTGTCTAAAACCACTATTTTTGAGGGCCTGATTGTATATTAATTTATTATCGCTAAAGATTTTTTGGCTAGAAGATAGCCTATTTATTCTCGTATTCACAGTTTTGGGTGGTTAGAGTGGACGTTGATATAGGGGTGTTTGATCAAATTTATGGAAGGGTTTAAAGGTATCATTAGATAGGTTGAGTGTAATACCCAAAACGTTGACTATTTTCAGGTTGGAAGATATTCCAATCTTAAGGCCTAGGTATTTGAAGGCCCTAATTATCTTCTTATGCAAGCTGGAAGTCAAGGCACCATTGCTATTAGGGACAACTATTAGTTCCGACTTGGTTAAGGCTAACTACTCTACTCAAGGTGCCAAGGTGTCAAGGTGGAATTATTTTTTATACAAATATATATGTATGTGTATGTATATATGTATAGATATTTAGATATTTTAGATATATGATTGCATATGTATGTGTATATTTACCACTAATATTATCTATCTATCGATCTATCTATCTATATATATATGCGTTGTGGTGTGTGAGTTTCTTTTTCGTATCTATCTTTAGTCGTGCCTCCAAAGATGGTATGGTAATGATAATATCTGCCGTTTCCTTATGAGGAAACATTCGTCATTCATTGACCGACATTCACTGATGTCACTTTTAATTAAAATTTTTAAGGTTTTTCTATTAAAACAATTTTCAAGAAAAATAGGTTGATCATGTCTGTTATTTTTCTTTCCAGTATTGATTGGATTTTCCTTCCTAACTTTTGTTTGGATGGTTCACGACCGCATCATGCTGAAATATTGGCTCCCGTACCATCATCAAAGTTAAGCAATGTCGAGCCTGGTCAGTATCTGGATGGGTGACCGACTGGGAATACCATGTGCTGTAAGATTGGATTTGCGGGTGCTGTAATGGATTAAGTTGGATTAAGCGCAAATACTTCAGGAAAAGGTATGAATTCATCTAATCTCTCACAGCTTTGGGTTAGTTAGTAAGATGATGTCACTAAATCATTATTATCTCCTCCCTTACAAATTCTTACCATCTAAAAATATTTTCTTGCTTTACATAACCTGCAAAAGGTTGATAAGCCGTAAAAAATGAATTAATCAATCACTTGGTGTAGGAAGATTATAGCGGTTCAACACTATTTTTTTTTGTTTCTGAATGCTAAAGTGGTCTTTTGCGAAAAGAATAAGCTTATCTTCGTCTGAAAAATATTCACAGCAGAAGAGCACCCACAGGGGATCAAACTTAATCCAGCATCTTCCTATTCATCAGTCTGAGACATATCATGAGATTTCTGAAATTTACCCCCAACCCCCCCCCAAAAAAAAACAACAAAAAAAAAACATTAAAATGTTACAATTTTTTATTAAATGCATATAATTAAAACTAAAAATCTTCGGAGTCTCGACATAGTGTAATAGCTAGGGAGGTTTGTCTGGTGGATCCGAGTAGCGAATTCAACTCTCACTGGGTGCTCCATACAAATTCGACATTCAATAACCCAACAGGGGTTAACATGTTATAAAATTCAACCAGCCTAATTAAAACAGTGTTCCAACAGGGCGTAATAGTTAGCGAGTATGATCTAGTTGATCATTAGTGGCGAGTTCGGTCCTCATACTTTGTCGTGTTTATACAAAAGGAAAATCCGGCATTCATTACCCGAGTAGCCTGTACTACTCGAGTTACTCTTTACTTCACTCTCTGGACATCGGACTGGGATCAAAGTGTTGTATCTGTTCCCATTTCCAATGATAATGGTAATATTAACCTTTTCCTTGTATGAAAACATTCCACATTCATTGACCGAATGACTAAATGCCTGTTGAAATTTATAAAATCTTTCTTTGAAAAAGATTTTTCAGGCAAATAGGCTTCTGAAGTCCATGTTCTTTCTTGTATTGATGGGAATTTCCTTCATAAACAGCAGTCGACATTCAGTAATCCAACAAGGTTTTTAAAAAAGCAACCAATCTAACGTAACTTAACCTTAAGGTATAAGAATTTTGCTGAAATTGAAAAATGGCTACTAAAAATGGTCGTGTAAATGCATGGATGGAGACATCAATATGACGTTTACTTTTGCAGGTCGCAGTCATTGTAAAATTCCAGCTAATGTTTGAACTTCAAATGTTGAATTGCATAAAAAAATATACTGTAGAAATGTATTCGCGATCGCCTATTATCAGATGATGGCTGAGCCTAATAAATACCCTGGAAAAATTGTCATCTGTCTACTGTTGATTTTAAGAGTACTAAACTGATACCCGTTTTTGAGAAAGATACACAAAAAAATTAAAAATTCTAAAGTCTTCATCATTTATTTGAACGCGTAACAATGAATGTTACCATGAAGTCAGTACGCTAGAGCAAGTCCTAAACATAATGATAATAATTTATAATATGATAAATTATTATATCTATATGCACAACCTGTCTTTCAAAATGAGTTCTCTGTCAGTTAACGATTAATTCAGCTTGTATTTTAAATATTAAACATTTGTATTTCAATTGTCCAGTCTGTGTATTCTGTCCATCAAGGTTTGGATAACAGCGAATCTATAACTAAATGAAAAGTACGTGTCAGCATCATAACTCCGATACAGAATAAAGATATACAGAAGTTTAAGAGTTATTGACAAATTTTAGTGGAAGTGCACAGGACAGGTCTATAAAAGGCAATATCAATATATAACTAGCAGTATAACCCGTGATACCAGAGGGTGAGGGACTTATTCAACAAATACGTTAAAATTTTTATTCACTCTAATGATTATATGACAATAGTAAAAGTGAGATTAACCGTTTCTATATAGGAAACATTAAGCATTCATTGACCTAGCTTCTCAGATTCACTGTTATCGCTCTTTCTAGTACTGATGGGAGTTTCCTTCCTAACCTTTTGTTTAAGTTAGTGTGAAAAGACAACAACGTAATTCTGGGTATGACGATAAACTATATCCGGCAGCAAGACCTCTGATCGGAAGATTGTGGGTTTTGTGGAGCGTGGAACCACCTCTTAATTGTTGTTGACTCGGGGTGGTAGCACCTGTTAGGGTCCTAGCTATGGACAAATAGTGCCCCCCCCCCAAAAAAAAGCCCCATGTAAGTATAAAAGTACATTTTTATAGTAAAAATACCAACAATACATACAATTGTTTTCAAAATATATTTAATTGAAGCGTTCAAATCGTGTTTAAAATATTTAGATTTCGGCACTAAATAACCTATATAGGTAGATATGTCGCTAAATAAAATCAACCGACAAAACTGCCATCATGAAAGAACATTTTCATGACATTAATCCATATAATATTCTACAATTTCTTAAAGAAATCAAACTGTATTGCAAAATAGAACTTCAACAAAGCTACAACATAAAACATATATATTTTCACCTTTAGTAATTATGTTCACGCAAACATGTATATGCACACAAGCTGAGTATTATTTACCATGTATTCAGTTGTGAAAACAGAATAACATATATCATATTTTTTTTACTTCAAAGCTTCCAAGAAAATGAAATTTCCACATTAAATGACCCATAAGGAGTTGATGTGCCGTTAAAAATGCAAATCAAATGAAAGATAACGCGTTTATCTCATTTTCCGTTCTAGTTACATGAACTATGCATTTTAGCTGTTGCTGCTGTTGGAATTTTTTTAAGAGATGTGGTTTCTATTATTTGTTAAAGATCTTTGTGATTTTGTAGCGCCAGTCTATAAGATCTGATGAAGAATTTTCTTCTTTAATACCTTGAGGATTCATTCGCTTGAAGCCATTTTAATCATTGATATGACAGAACTGTATGTAGATGATATATCAGACATTTCGAAACGATTTGGAGCTATTCATAATGTCCACATGAGAGTCTAGATAGGATGAGGTTATTTAAATAGTATGGCTCAAGTTCTTAAGTTGATATTTTTAATAGTTTGCTCTTGTAGCATCTTGTGGTGTATAAACAAAAGGAAAATCCGGCATTTATTACCCGAGCAGAATGTACTATTCGAGTTACGCTTTTCTTCACTCTCTGGACATCGGACTGGGATCAAAGTGTTGTATCTGTTCCCATTTCCAATGATAATGGTAATATTAACCTTTTCCTTGTATGAAAATATTCCACATTCATTGACCGAATGACTAAAGCTACTGCCTGTTGAAATTTATAAAATCTTTCTTTGAAAAAGATTTTTCAGGCAAATAAGCTTCTCAAGTCTACCAACTGTTATCGCTCTTTCTAGTATTGATGGGAGTTTCTTTCCTAACCTTTTGTTTTCCTTATTCCCTATACTAAATTTGTTATAACTGATCACTACAGGAAATACTAAACACTCATATAGAAAGTAAATAAAGGCGAAAATTTCCATGAAGCACTGAGAGAACAGATGTAACCAATATAATATTAATAACCCCGAAAATGTCATCCAATCAATTGTTAAATGGGGCAAGCAATAGCTTGTAAATTTTAATTCCTTCAAAACGAAGCTTCTATCTTTTAATCATCACAGAGAACCATTTTTGCCCTCCATCAGCATGGCTGATGCTAACCTCCAGGAGAGTCACTCATTGCGCCTACTTGGTTTCACGTTTTCCACTGATATGAAGTGGAACTATTATATTGAATCAATTGCTAGGTCTGCTGATAGGAAAGTTGGTTCACTGTATCGTAACAGATAATTTCTATCATCACAATCCATTCTGTTCTTTTATAAATCTACTTACCAATTCGTCCGTGCATTGAATATTGTTGTGATATCTGGTTTGGTGCTCTGGATATATATCTTGAGATTGTCGACAAAATCCAAAGGGTCTGACACCGCATAAATTTAAGCGTTCTACTAGATTGGTAATTAGGTCTCATCGGTTTGTTGTTCATATAGCTAGATGTAGTTGTAAGTTCTATTTTAACAGTTTCTTTCCTCCAATTTGTCACCTGTGAAGCTCTCTTCTGATTTCTTGCTTTCCTGTTGCCTATAAGCTTCAAATTTTAAATACGACGTCAATCGCCATCTTCTGTTCTTCCTGAATGCTGTTCTTATATTGTCTTGTTTTCTCCCTAAAGACTTTTCATTCTTTCAATCCCAGCAACCCCTTGCGTCTTAGTGGTATTATCGCCTTGCTTGTGGTGAAATAAGAAAGAAGAAAAGTAGAATATGTTTTGTCTTAAATGTAGCCTCTTCGAGTTACATAAATTTTGGTTTATAAGTTATTTCTCATTTATCACCATTAAATTGTCGCCAATTATCTACATTCTATGCACATCTCTGATTAACCTGTTTTTAAAAGAAATAGAAAATGCTATTACTCTGTAATTTTTACATAATTATTAACGATTTTTAAGACATAATTCCCGGCGGAGTGAGCGGGTGATATCTACAGATCCAACGGCCATGAACGCGATGTCAGCAAGTGCGTGGAGTGCACCAGAGCACGCTCGTGACACCTAGACGTCCTAGTCATCTACTTCAGCCTGGAAGCCTCCGGTTGTAACGATTCATCGTGCCATCGGATAATGACTCCCCAGGCCGAATGAGTGGCATTACCCTAGCGTAACGATTTTCTCCCTATAAATTATTACCGCACAGGTCCGTTTTGAAAATTCATCCAGATTCACTGATGACTTGCTAGACAAGGAGTCCGGTACCGAAGAGCAGCAATTTGTTTAAAAATCATTACATAATCCAATTTGAATAAACTTTGAACATCATTTACCACATAACGAAAATTACAATGCTACAATAACATTAATGCCTAAAGGAGGAATTTGAATTTGTAACCACTGAATTTTGTAATTATTTTGTTAAATGTGTTTTATCGTGTTCTGGAATTGTTGGTTCCGTATTGAAAACCAGGAAGGAGGAAGTATTCTATGGTCAGGAATTAATGAAAATTTTACAGAGAAATTAGTGTTTAGATATCTAGGAATCGTATTAACAAGAGAATAGGGTTATTATATGTACAATAAAACGTGTTTTTGTTTCTTTTATGAAAGCATTCGTCTTGTTCCCTGAATGTCTTATCAAGAATAAATCTCCACAGCGGGGACGAAGGAGGAGACAGCGGGTATCAAACGACAAGGAATAATGTGACTATAAGAAATATTTGGCTTACTTCGATTATTACCCACGGGTATTAGAGATCAGTTTCCGATCCCAGTTTAAAATCAGGATTTCGAATAGGGGCGTTGAAGACAGACCCCACACCGACAGAAGATTGGTACAACACAAAGCTACTTTTACGTTTACCTCACCCCAATTTGGCCTCGGAAATTAATAAAATTCAGTTTTCAATGTAATGACGAAAGATTCGTTTCCCATACATCTGAACAGAGAGTAGATTTATTTGGGATTTAATTTATGAATAGGCATGCGTAAATTCAAAAACACATATACACCCCCAACAGACGTCTTCTATGTGCCGTTTCACTTCAGGGTGTAGGTGATCATGGCTATCCACAATTTCCTGTCCTTCGTAGCTCGTAATAATTTTTGTGATTTTGTTATCCCTCTTAAATCTTGTTCCGCCATCCAAACTCGTTAGGAAGATTATCACGTGATATCTCCAAGTTACCATGTCCCGGTAAACCGTTTCAGCTGGTGGATTAAACTCACCTTAATGAGTGGTGTTAACAAGACATCACTGGGCGAAAGATCTCCTCGACGCAGGTCACCGGCCAGGGCGGATGGCCTCTTGAGATGAACTACAACGGCCACGTATTCGCGACCAGGATGAGTTGCCTAGTTGGGGGTCATCGGCTATAGTCTAACCTGGAGAGAGATGAACTTAAAACGCCCACGACACGTCGCATGATGAGCACACCAAGAAAACATTGGCGGAGACCCAGGCTCTGACACACAACTTCGAGGAGAATGGTAGACAGCTCAGCACGTCGGCGTCTCGATGGCTCCTTCCGGCTTTAAGGGAGTAAGAAGAAGAAGAAGAAGAAGAAGAAGAAGAAGAAGAAAGTAGATTATCTGTTGTTTTCCTCTGTCACTCCTACCCTTAATCTGTCTTGTGAGTATCAAATTTTCCACGCCCTCTTTCCTCATTATGTGGTTTAGAAATGTTAACTACCTTTTCCTGATCTTAAGTATAAGTGTTCTTTTTGTTTCCATTTTCTCAAAAACTTCGTCGTTTCTCACATGTTCAGTCCATGGTATTCTCAGCATTATTCTGTAGAAGCACATTTTCATTACTTCAAGTCTCTTTCTTACTGTCAATTCCAAGAAAACTTATGAATTTTAAGACGCACATAGACATATAACAATAAAAATAACAAATTGTATTTCGCCCCAAATCAGTCGACTTGGTATAATTCTGGAAGATAACGTATTTAAGGCAAATAGTCTTTGTAATTATATCAAAAGATATCAAGATATAAAGCTATAATAATAATAATAATAATAAAATAAATTTGCCCACTTAACTGTTGACAATTTCATGAGTCTCATTGAACCAAATCAACTCATCAGGAGATTTGATAGTGTATCAAATAAACAAAAAATAAAAAGTTGAAGTTAGTGATTCTCGAATAGAAATAGAGTTGAAGTAAAATTCAAGCGTTTCCGCTTGATCCCGTTTTGTCTCGCTAATGTAGCAATTGGTTATTAAGCCTAATCTGGGCGAAAGGATCGTGGGAGTTTGGCGCTGTCACTTGGTCAGTCAATTAAAGTTTCCAGCTCTTTTAGAGAGACGCTCGATTTCGAGGCTGAATGAGATCGTACGTGATTATAAATCCAGACTATCATTGTGGTACTGTGAAAGCTGAATGTTTTTTCTAAATATATACCATACACATGTCATTATTGACGATTGCGGAAAATATGCCAACGACAAATGTATCGTGATTGTAGACAAATATGACATTTTCAATTTGTTGAAGGGAGATTAGGTTAATTATACGTAAAGTTAATAGAAAAAATAAAAAAAATTGGGAAGCTTCTTAAAGAAACCTGTAGATAAAATTAAAAATGTGGAACGTCTATATACGATATTAATAATACTAACAGGAGGGTAATACATTTCTATATTTAAGCTGAATAAACCAAATAAGGTAATTACCAGCAGAGCGTGAACCATTATATACTAATAAATTATTGCTATGAGAAATGGTAATACATAATTTATTTAAAAAAAAAATTTAACTATATTTTAAGGCAAAAGTTATGTCCCGGTTTATCGTGACATGAAAAAATAACTCACCCACATCCCCCCTCTGACCTTACTTTTCTACTTAGCGTAGATGTGACATTTAATTGGTTAATCAAGACATACCCATAAGTCTATTTTTAATTCTGACCTTTTGTCCACCCCATTGATCTTTCGAAAAAGAGGTAACGCTTTAAAAAAAAAAAATTCCTTAAAAATCATTTAATCGCCAGCTGCCATCGCCTGAAGAGATACAATCATAGTATTGAAACATGGAAGCTTTTGTGTAGCGAGTTCAAAATGTTTGCATCATAATCTCTTATAATAAAAATATAATAATAATATATTGCTCTACTTTATATTGAGCACTTTTTAAAAGTAAATGCTACGAACAGATTGTTTCTCTGTATCGCAGCTCATCAGTGTGGCTAGACCTCCGATTGTTTCAAGCGGAAACTCGACCGATTTGGCATCAATCAGAGATTTTACCCCCAAGCTATCGTCGCATGGCATAGAGAAAGGGAAATTTTAACGTTTTTACTATACGAAAGACCTCAGTGGCTAGGAGAGCTCGGTCCTAGTTGAAGAGCATTGCATTAACAGCAGTCACAGTTTATATATAACACGAAGTCACGTTCGAACGTCATATTATGTACTATCTTCCAGAAAACTGTAACTATGGTCTACTTAGGATTGGCATAGTTATGTATAAATAAAAATTTGACTCTGTGGTTGATGAACAAGTACAAATGTGACTGAGCGGGTGTTTGCAACAGGAATTGGCATAGGCACCCATACAGACGCATGCACTCAGAAAATTGTATCCAGGTATTAATATCATTGTCCAAAAGTCAATTTCTGTATAAGCATATGTATATTTAATATGTAAAGGGTGAGCAAGTTAAATCAGAAGAAATTATAAGAAAAGCAATAGAAAAATCTCTATATTTAAAAAGAAATTGTACATATGTTCAACTGAGAAAAAAAAATAAAATGCTTGTTTGATAAAACCACACCCAACTTTAAGGACGGGCTTGAAAGTAACTATATGACAGAATAACATATTGGGCTAAACTCAGAAAGAATTATTGTAATTTTAGGATTTCAAAAATATACGTCCATGTACTGGTTGGGAATATTCACTTAATGAGTGATCTGTCTATCTACTTCAGTCTGATTGATTTTATCTATCTATCTATCTATCTATCTATCTATCTATCTATCTATCTATCTATCTATCTAGATAGATAG